TCTAATACTATGTTGAATAAGAGTGGCAAGGGTGGGCATCCTTGTCTTGTTCCTGTTCTTAGGGGAATAGCTTTCAGTTTTTCATCATTGAGTATGATGTTGGCTATGGGTTTGTCATATATGGCCTTTATTATGTTGAGATACTTTCCTTCTATACCCATTTTATTGAGAGTTTTTATCATAAATGGATGCTGAATCTTGTTAAATGCTTTCTCTGCATCTATTGAGATAATCTTCTGATTTTTATTCCTTATTTTGTTAATGTGGTGTATTACGATTATGTTGAACCATCCTTGCATCCCTGGAATAAATCTCACTTGATTGTAGTATGAGCCTTTCCATGTATTGTTGTATTCCATTTGCTAGTATTTTGTTGAGCATTTTTGCATCTATGTTCATCAGCAGTATTGGCTGTAATTTTCATTTTTGTGTTGCCCTTGTCTGGTTTTGGTATCAGGGTAATGTTAACCTTGTAAAATGAGTTAGGAAGCATCCCCTCTGATTTTTTGAAAGAGTTTGTGAAGGACAGGTATTAAATCTTTGAATGTTTGGTAGAATTCACCAGAGAAGCTGTCTGGTCCTGGAATTTTGTTTTTTGGGAGGTTTTTGATTACTGTTTCAATCTCCTTACTAGTGATTGGTCTATTCAGATTCTCTATTTTTTCTTGATTCAGTTTTGGAAGGATGTATGATTCTAAGAATTTATCTATTTCCCTTGGTTATCCAATTTGTTGGCGTATAGCTTTTCATGGTATTCTCTTATAATCCTTTGTATTTCTGTGCTATCCATTGTAATTTCTCCTCTTTTATTTCTGATTTTATTTATTTGAGCCTTCTATCTTTTTGTCTTAGTGAGTTTAGCTAAAGGTTTGTCAATTTTGATTATGTTTTCAAAGAACCAGCTCTTGAGTTCATTGATCTTTTCTATTGTCTTTTTAGTCTCTATTACATTTATTTCCACTCTGACTTTTCTTATTTCCTTCCTTCTACTGACTTTAGGCTTTGTGTGTTCTTCTTTTTTCTAGTTCCTTTAGGTGTACTGTTAGATTGTTTATTTGAGATTTTGTTTCTTGACACAGACCTATATTGCTATAAACTTCCCTCTTAGTCAGAGGCAAGAGTCACACGCACACCTCTGTTGCTGCCCACCAGGTTCTCTGAGGCTGGGGGTGACTCACTCAGCTGCCATGGCCAGGGGTCCAGGAGCCTGGGTACCACCTCTTCTGTTCCCCCATTTGGCCTCCTCTATGTGCTCCAATCCACCCACCTTTGTATGTACTGATGTGTGGCTCTCTCTGGCATTCTGCTGTGTTGGGCAGTGTAGCCTTTGTTGGGTTATGGATGTTTTGCTTGCTGTAGATTGAAGGGGAGAGACAAAGGGATCCTCTTTACACCACCATGATGATCTGTATATACATTTTCTTATGAATTCATCTATCGATGGATGCAGGTTGCTTCCATGTCTTGGCTATTGTGAATAGGGCTGCAGTGAACATGGTAGTGCAGATCTCTCTCTGAGATCAAGATTTCAATTTCTTTGGACATATATGCCCAGAAGTGCGATTGCTGCATCCTATGGTAGTTCTTTTTTAATTTTTTGAAGAACCTCCATACTGTTTTCCATAGAGGCTGCACCAATTTACATTCAAACCAACAGTGCACAAGGGTTCCCTTTTCTCTACATCCTCACCAACACTTGTTATCTTTTGGTTTTTTTTGATAATAGCCATCCTAACAGGTGTGAGGTGACACCTCATTGTGGTTTCAATCTGCATTTCCCTGTTTATTAGTGATGTTGAGCATCTTTTCATATACTTGTGGCCATTTGAATGTCTCCTTTGGAGTAATGTGTATTCAGGTCCTTTACCAATTAACAATACTGTATTGTATACTTAAAATTTTGTTAAGTGGATAGATTTTATGTTTAGTGCTCTTGTCACACAATATAATAATAAGAAGAATAAAAAGAGGGTGAGAGAAAATATTTGGAGGGTATGAATATGTTTATGGCATAGATTGTAATGATGAGTATATTAGCCTGAGTATAGTCAGGGTGCTTTCTGCTGCAGGAAAAGCTTGAAGGGGTCTTTAAAGTTGTAGCAAGGTGGAAAGAAGGCGAGAAAGGCAGACAGTATGACACCGGAGATCAAAGAGCATTAGGATGTGTTTAAGAACCAATGAAATGAGTACAGCATAATTTGGCTTGTGAAGTTCTCTGCCACCACTAACATCTGCTTCCTCCTCTCTGCTCTGTGCTTAGGTGGGATGGGCAAGAAGTGGATGGGAAGGAAGACAGGAAAGTTATTATAAATCAGTTCTGCTCCTAACCAGAAATCAGTACCTTTTGCATCTTGCTTTGATAATCCATTTGTCGTGGTCTTATTTGCCATGTCCCCAGGACTGCTAGGTAGACATAAAGTAATTTCCCTTTGGCATTGCTCATAAGAAGCAATATCTTGGAAATACTAATATAAATAGAGAGAAGAAACACAATTTTATTTATTAAGCCCTCATGGAATTTTTTAAGTATCCAACACAGGGAGCAGTTTCTTAGTGAAATACATTTCTCTTGTGTCAGATTCTTTGAGTCTTGAATTCCTCTTTATGCCTTAAGAATAAAGCATAGATTGGTGGTGTATTTCAGGCTGACTTGAGAATTGAGCTTTTGTCCAAAAATCTTGGGAAATTTTGTAAATATCCAAGGGATTAGTTAGAACTGCAAGAACACTTGACCTCTAGTTCCAGCCTCTTACTATTTAAATGGGGAAACTGCAAATAAGTGATGGGTAATTATTTGCTGAAGGGCATATACTTGGTGTCCACCTTCCAGCCTAGGGTTCTTGCTAATACACACCTGAGTATGTTTGCATTAGTCAGTGTGCTTTGAGCAATATCTAGTATTACTGCTCTGATCATTTGTGAGGCATCACATATTCATCAGGTTTAACAATTAGCCAGGATGGGAGATGCCGGCCAGTTGGCCACCTAGAACTCCAAGAGGATGGCAGGGATTGAATCCAATATAACCAGAGGTATACAGGTTAGCTAGAAATAGTTCATCAGAGCTAGGATCCAAAGAACACTGAATTTTTGCTGTGTGGGTTCCATTTCTACATAGGAGGCTATTTTCTAGGCCAAGGACAGCTGAGGCTCAAAAAACTCAAAATAAATAGGAGCAGTAATCTTAGAATAGATTGTTTAGACAGACTAATGCAGGGTAATGAGTATGTGGGCATGGCAAATAATAACCCCATCCAGATTTCCATTGAGGAATCCACACACAGTCTCTCCTATATGCTGTCCCTGTGAAGACAGCATGAGCTCTTCAGACTTGACCTCTGAGGTTACTGATGTCCTCAACCACCTTTGTATTTTATTTTTGTTTTTGGCTGGGAAAGATTTGCCCTGAGCTAACAGCTATTGCCAATCTTCCTATCTCTTGTTTTTTTCTTTTTTTCCCTCCCCAAAGCCCCAGTACATAGTTGCATATTCTACTTGTAAGTCCTTCTAGTTCTTCCATATGAGTCGCCACCACAGCATGGCTACTGACAGATGAGTGGTGTGGTTCTGCACCTGGGAACTGAACCTGGACCACCAAAGTGGAGCATGCCAAACTTTAAACAATAGGCCATCAGGGCTGGCTCTGTATTTTTATTTTCTGGCCAGCTGCCGTGTGTGGGTGTGTATGAGTGTACAAGTGTGGATGTATTCTCCAAGAGCCATCTCCTTCAAAGCTATAGCAGTTGCTATGAGCAGCAGAACCATCTCTTGTGCTTGTTCATTATCAGGGTAAAAATTTTCTTTCTATGTATCTCTCCTCTCCAGTGCACTCTTTAAATTGGTTAACTCACACGATAGCCTGCTGAGGATAATTATTTCAGAAATAATTAAACTGCTATTAAGAGTGAATGAGTCAGATGAACAGACATTTCTCAAAAGGAGATATAAATATGGCCAATAGACACATGAAAAGATGTTCATCATCGCTAATCATCAGGGAAATGCAAATCAAAATGCACTAAGATATCACCTTACACCCGTTAGATTGTCAAAAACATCCAAAACCAAGAGCGACAAATGTTGGAGAGGTTGTGGAGAAAAAGGAACCCTCATACACTGTTGGTGGGAATGCAAACTGGTACAGCCACTACAGAAAACAGTATGGAGATTTCGCAAAAAGTTAAAAATAGAAATACCCTATGACCCAGCCATCCCATTACTGGGTATCTATCCTAAGGACCTGAAATCAGAAATCCCAAGAGTCCCTTGCACCCCTATGTTCATCGCAGCATTATTTACAATAGCCAAGACTTGGAACCAACCTACATGCCCAGAAACTGATGATTGGATAAAGAAGATATGGTATATATACACAATGGAATACTACTCAGCCATAAAAAAAGACAAAATTGGCCCATTCGCAGCAACTTGGATGGACCTCAAGGGTATTATGTTAAGCGAAATAAGCCAGTCAGAGAAAGACGAACTCTATATGACTCCACTCATAGGTGGAAGTTAGTATATTGACAAGGAGATCTGATTGGTGGTTACTAGGGAAAAGGGGGGTGGGGGGAGGGCACAAAGGGGGAAGAGGTGTACCCACAACATGACTAACAATAATGTACAACTGAAATCTCACAAGGTTGTAATCTATCATAACATCAATAAAAAAAAAAAAAAAGAGCGAATGAGTCAGGACCTGGGGTTTTTAGGCTTCAGTGGGAGGGTGGCTAAGGAGCTCAGCTAGGTCAGATAAGTTACGTTTGATTTTCTAAAGGTGGTAAGATGGGATTTAGATCTGATCTAAAAATCTGAACACTGAATGCTGCTTTGAGAGCCTATCTAGTTCATGCAATTCATCCCTCGTGTTCATATGAACCTAGACAAACGAAACCCCACTATACCTAGGAGAATGCCATAACTGGTGAATGGGAACTCAGCTCCATGTTTAATGGCATTCACTTTAGCTTAATTTCATTTTCTGTTCTCCTTTCTTTTAGGTTAACAATTCATGCTGAGTGCCCCATGCATTTGGAAGATTTTCCTATGGATGTGCATGCCTGCCCACTGAAGTTTGGAAGCTGTACGTATTTTCTCACTTTTCTGCTTGCCTGGTCTTCTTCTAAAAGAAACTGAATATTTCCTATTCTGTCCTCTAGTAGTTTCTAAAGCCATTTCTAAAGCCTAGGCATTTAATCCAGGCTGCTATGGGAGTGGGGGAAGGGGAGTGGGGTTGAGTAGTACTAACTGATCAGGAGCGGGAGACAGCCTTTCATAGAGTTTTCATTCTAGATAGCAAACCTTATTTTACCATGTGAGACTCATTTCTCTCTCATTAGACTGAAACATTAACATCTGTTTCCTAAATTGTCCAGAAGACACAGCAAGAGAGAGCTGATATTCAGTAGCAGCTTCCTAAGGACAAAATCCCTCAAATAGAATGTGTTTCTATTTTTGAAATGCCAATTCCACCTGCATCCTCATGTACTTCCATCCAATTCTCTACAGTAAATGGTGGACAAGAAGAGACTCTGGAGATTTTCTCATTTTTAGAGAGTATTGCCTTTTCCAGTAGCTGTAAATCTGACAAAATGAGTAGATACATAGCCCATTTTCAAATGAATTAGAAAAATCAAAATAGAACAGAATTTGGGCAAGTTTCTGACTCTAAGAATTTCAGAGTAAATTTCCTATAGGGAGGTATCAGAGCAATATCTCAAGGTCTGTGGCGATCATCCCTAAATTAGATTTAGCTCTGTATTTTGAAGTAGAAAGTGCATTTAAAAAGACAAAAATAGGGGCCAGCCCGGTGGTGTACTGTTTAAGTTTGCGCGCTCCACTTCAGTGGCCCAGGGGTTTGCAGGTTTGGATCCCGGGCGTGGACCCAGCACCACTCATCAAGCCACACTGTGGCGGCATCCCACATAAAATAGAGGAAGATTGGCAGAGATGTTAGCTCAGTGACAATCTTCCTCAAGCCAAAAGAGGAAGATTGGCAACAGATGTTCACTCAGGGCCAAGCTTCCTCACAAAAGAAAAGACACAAATAACTACATGTTATATATTTTTTCAATCATTGCCAAATAATTACAGATTGTCTCTTATGTGACAGGCTCTATTCTAGGAGATTGGAATGCATCCATAAATAAAACAAAGACCTTGCACTTATGAAACTGATATTATAGAGGAGAGAGTGATGGTGAAAGATAAAAGAAACAATGGATTAAAAAGTAAAGTATAAAGTATGTTGTAAAGTGAGAAGCACCATGGGAATACATAAAAGTACCGCAGAATAAGGGGGGGTCAGTCACATCTAGGTGGAGGATAGGCATTGCCACTGAAATTTAAAATAGGGTGATCAGCATAGGCCTCTTTGAAAAAGTGACATTTGAGCAGAAATTTTAAGGAGATACAAGGGTTAACAGTGCAGATATCGGACAAAATCATGCTCCGGGTAGAGGGAACAGGCAGGGAAAAGATCCTGAGTGAGAAAAGTGTCTGACTTGTTCAAGGAACATCAAAGTGGCCAGTATGACTGGACAGAGGGAGTGAGGGGGAAAGCACTGAGAGAGGATGAGATCAATGAGGGAGCCAGGTAATCTAGAATCTTGTAGGACATTAAAGGGCTTTGAATTTTATTCTGAGGGAAAATGGGGAGTGATTCCAGTTTGGGAACAGAATAATTACATTATCTTACATCTTAAAAGAATCATTATGGACACTCTTTTAAAACTGTAAGTATGGGAAGGATAGAAGCAGGGAGTCCAGTTGAGAGGGTATTGCTCTATTTCAGATGAGAGATGATAACGGTTCCGATCAGAGTGATGTTGGTAAAAGTGGTGAGAAGTAGCTTGATTCTGGATGTATTGTGAAGGGTGATCCAAAAGGATCTTGCAATAAATTACATGTATAATATTAGAAAAAGAACTCAAGGGTGACTTGTAGATTTTTGTCCTACTGGATTTACTATCAAATTAGATGGCTATTCCTTTCACTCCCGGTAGGACAGAGTTGTTTGTGGGTGAAAAGTGCTCCCCTCATGAAAAATTAGAAAACCTAGAACTGTAGAAGCAACAAGGATTGTAGAGACTGAAATTCTGGAGAAAGGGTTACCTCTCTTGGACGAATTTGTCACCTGCAGCTTCTTCATTCATGGTGGAACTTGTCAATTCTGGCCTTGAATTGAAGCTTGGAATTTAAGTTCTGCCCCAGCTGTAGGGCTGCTACTGGAGGATAGAAACAAAGCAACAGTTTTGATGGTCACATAGAGATCAAGTGATAAAAGTAGAGATCTAGAAGGTTTCAAACACTTAACTGATACCCCTTTCAAGACAGTTGCTGAATTTTGAATTTGCACAAATCATAAGGCTAAAAGTTAATATGAAAACCTTTCAAAAGTAGAGCTGGCTTTCCTTCAGTCTCCCAATGCTATCAAAAAGAAGACATGCCAGGCTATCTGTTTAAAACCCTAGAGAAGCTATGTTCTAGTTACAAGGGAACAGCAGAGACAGACCAGGTTTAACCAAAACTACAACCCAGCTCAGTCCCTTATGGCATTAAGGTGATAATTCTCCCACACTATCTGCCTAGCAAAGAAAAGAATAAAGTTTCTCTGGTGGAAGTTAATATCACTTGAAAACTCTACAGTTTTATTACACGATGTCTGGAATTCAATAAAAAATCATCAGGCATACCAATAGGTAGGACCATATGACCTAAAACCAAGATTTAAAAACAAAAAAACAGAATATGGAAACAGACCTCCAGGTGATCCAGATATCAGAGTTTGTAGATAAGAACTTTCAAAAACATTGCTTAATATGTTCAACGAAAAAAGAATAAAAGATGAATAAAATATATAAAAGATAGGGAACTTCAACAGAAAATTGGAATCTATAAAGAAGAATAAATTGGAAATTACTTATTGGGAAGTATATATCCAAAATTCATAATTCAATGGATGCTTTTAACAAGCAGAAGATAGGATTAGAGAACTTAAAATTAGGTAAATAGAAAATAGGAAGCCTGAAGTGTAGAGAGACAAAACTACAGAATAGAGTAAGAAACATGTGTGACACAGTAAAATAAATTGTATTGTGTAATTTTGCAGAAGAAAAACAGGAAGAAAAAGGAGCAAAAGCAATAATTAAGTAGCTACAGGCCAATCACTTTTAAAACTGATGAGCCTTATCAATGCAAAGATTCAAGAAGTTGGTAAACACTAAGCAGGATAAATACAAAGAAAAACAACACTGATTCTAAAGTTTATATAGAAATATAAAATTGCCAAAAATAGCTAACGCAATCTTGAAGAAGAATAATATAGCTGGAGAACTTACAATCAAATCAATTCCAATACCAGATATCAAGACCTATTTTAAAGTTTTAAAGCTATAGGTTTATTTTAAAGGTATAGGTATTACTGTTGCAAAGATAGACATAACAGAAAGTCCAAAAACAGAGAGAGAGAAAGGGAGAGAGAGATCTTGACTTTTATCTCTCATCATACTCAAAAATAAATTCCAGATGTATTACAGATAGAAATGTCAAAGGATGAAAGGTAAAACAATAACGCTTTTACAAGAAAACATAAGAGAATACATTCGTGATCGTGGAAGAGGTAGGGATTACTTAAATAGAACATAGACTACTGCTTAGCCACAACGGTAAAACAGGATGACTTGGAATATATTAAAAATAAAGAAATTCTCTTTATTAAAAAACAATGGTGAAATGGCAAGCCACAGGGTGGGAGAAAATATTTGTATTGGATGTACATGACAAGTGACTCAACTCCATAATTATTAAGATCCCCATACAAATCTCTAAGGAGTAGTTAGAAACTTAAATAGAAAAAGAGGCCAAAGTGTTGAACACGCACTTTATAAAACAGGGTTTCCTGATCACACACACAGACATATAAAGTGATTAATTACTTTAGTCTTGAAAGATATAGAAGAGATAACATTTCTTAGCTCATTCAATCAGGTCAGTGTTAGTCTGATACCAAAACCAAAGATCAAAAGAAAAGAAAACCACAGGCAAATATTCCTTATGAATATAGACGCAAAAACCTTCAAGAAAATACTGGCAACCTGAATTAAGCAACTTATAAAGGGAAAAATACACTATCTTTAAGTGGGATTTACCCAAGAAATATAAAGTTGACCTTAACATTCAAAAATCAATGTAATACATCATATTAATAGAATAAGGAACAAAAATCACTTGATCATCTCAATAGATGCAGAAACACATACATATACCCCATGCTAGAAATCCAAAATTTGTCCTGATTTGCCAGTAACTAGAGGTTATAACTTGTTCCATCACTTTGGGTAATTTAAGGTCCTGAGAAGTGTAAGTATTTGTTTTAGTTATAAACCTATATAATGTCTGTTTCCATTTGGTTTCGTATGTATACAAATCCTAGGCTATAGTTGTTAGGTTCATCAGAACCCCTGTATTTATACTGAATATGCCCAAACCAAACTGATTATTTTTTCTCTAAAACCTTCTTTTACGTTCCCTGTCCTGGTTTAGATCCTGTATTCTGGTTGTTACAAACCTCTTCAACCTCATCTCATATCTCTCGCTCCTTTGCTTTGGTCTTCTGCCGGTTCCTAGAACACTGCAGGATCTTTCCCACTTAGAAGCCTTTCCACTTGCTGTTTTATTTGACCTGAAATATTCTCCATCAAGCTCTGGCTCTTTCTCATTTTTTATGTTTCAGCTTAAAAGCCACTCCCTCAAAGAGGTCTTCTCTGATTACTGTATCTAATGAAACCCCTCCCTACCTCATAAACTCTATTTTTTTCATAACATTTATCACCATCTGATATTATTTTATTGTTTACTTATTTATTGTCTGTCCTTTTCCACTAGACTATAAGCTCAATGAAGGGATGAGATCTCAAATGTCTTAAGACCTCTGTACTTTAACTACCTAATATAATGCCTTAATATTTGTTGAATGAGTAACTGACTGAATCAAGCAAGCAATGAGTCTCTGACACTATGAGTTCAGAGGGAATGTTTTCTCATCAGTACTATTGTAGCAAGATTGTTTTTAACTTCCCATTTTCCTGGGGCCTGACATATACCACAGCTTGAGTAACAGAAGGAAGCATTTGGCAAAGCAGCTAAAGGCAGGGAGATGCTTGTGGCATCATACCCCATACAATATATGTGACAGTGCCATTCTGCAAGTGCAGTAGTTCTAATCGCCTGGTAGATATCCTTTCTACAGTACCGCCCCCAACAACTCCTCCATGAAAATAGAATGATTGGAACTGAGGAGTAGGACACTCTGGGAGGGAAGCTGAGGGGTTAAAGGAATCCAAGGGGTGTGGAGGAAGGAGAGAATGAGGCAAAGGCCTAAAGGGGAAGAGTTCTGTTCTCCACTGGATGAATGAATTCCATCATTATCCACACACTTAGAAAAGCTACAATCTCAGGGTCATCTAGAATCCTTCCTTTAACTTCCTCCTTTCCTTTCTTAGCCATCATGAAAACCACCTGTTATAAAATGTTCTACCTCTAAAATTTATTTTCAGTCCACTGTCTACTACCATAGATTATACCCTAAGGCTCACTCACACCAGATACTGTAACGGCCTTTTAACTGCGGTCTTGGCTCCAGTTTCACTCTTCCCAGCCGGTCATCTATACTGCAGCTACTACAATCCTTCCAAAGCATACATCTGGTCATGTCAGCTCTCTACTTAGACACGTCCACAGCAACTTATAACCTATGAACTAGACCCCTTGTTTCTTAGTTTGCGTAATTAGGGGTTTTATGTTACCTCAGCTTCTCTCTAGCCTGTAAGTCCAGGGATATCATTAATTCCCTTAACACTCCATATTCTTGCCTGCTTTTTGCCTTTGCTGTGTTGTTCTTTGCTAGGAATGTCCTTCTTTTACCTACTAAAGTGGCCTCAACTTGTGAGTACCGTCAACTTTATGAGTCCTCTAACACTCCACCCTGGGCAGAAGCAACAGTGCCCCGCTCTGGTTTCATTTAACACGTATTTTTGTTCCACTGGTGTGCATACTTTTCCTGTTCAGGCTTGTACTATAACTATTGTGCACCCTCTGTCTCCCCCAGTAGATTGTCGGCACCCTGATGGCAGTTACTGTGCTTTATTAAGCTTTGTTTACCAGTACAGGGTAAGGCTGTGAGAAGACAATCAAGTAGTTTTCATTTTGTTTTTCAAATTTATTTCTCCATCTTCCTTCTCTTCCTTTATTAGATTATGCCTTTCCTGCTTTGACTTCCATCATATGAGAATATTTTTTCTTCCATAAATCTCTCTGTTCCCATACATTATTGTCATAGAAATGAAACTATTGCTTTTTGCATAAAGCAAGTTGCCACTCTGGGCCCAGTGAAGTGTCTAAGGTACTCGTAGCTGCACAATTTATTGTCACATTTGTGCTAGACCATGCTAGGAATTTAGGGCTAATATTCAAGATTGCATGCTCAAGGTACTCAGCTTAAGTTAAGAGATCCAGCAAGAAATTCTTTTTTTCTTAGGGGTTGAAACTCTTCCATCCCAAACACTTTCACGAGCAGACATGTTCTAGTTTTTACATTATCAAACTCTTGGGTGTACCGAGAACATTGCATTGTCCTTTAAACAGAGGGACTGACAACCACCTGAACAGCAAAGATAATAAGACATATTCATGTGATTCTCTGCTTAAGAGTAGTGGTTTGCAGATGTGATTTGTTTGATCCATACAGTTTACAACTTTTTAAATTATTTGCCAAGATTCGAAATTTAGGAGCTGTCATATAAAATTTCAAATTTGTTTATTTTTTATGAAATCAGAAGATCTGACAGCATCGGGTTCAAATTCCCACCTGGCCATAATCAGCTGGGGCGGAGTAGAGGCTGCCCCTTGTAGAGGGGCACAGCTTGCCCATTCCTCCAAGTCTCCATCACTTTCTGCTCTCTTCCTGAAAACAGGGTCCAGTGTCAGTTGCCATTAATCAACTCACTTGCACTCTTGTTTTACATATTGTCGAATTAAGAGCTCCCAGTAGAGTCAAGAAGAAAGTGACATAGTTCTTGTACCCATAGCTATCAAAATTTTTAAAACTAAAGGACAGACTGAGAGGACTGTGTTTCAAAAAAGATGGGAGAGTTTGCAGTTCCGTGTAGAGATGAAGAATATTTCTACATCTTTACTATGCATACAAAGTATGCCTTTGTTGAAAAATAAAACTTCAGATATCAACATTATGCAATCCATTATAAAGAACTGTAATTGATATATAAAAAAGATGTACAATGAAAATCTTAGTTAACTTTAAAGAACAAACTGAAAGTTCAACAGATTTGGTATTTGAAGGCCTACACTAAGTGTTGCTGGGAAATGTAGTTATGCGTTAAGCAACAAAACTTCCCAGGCATGAAAATATTCTATAAATGCCAAATTTATTAAAATGTCTATTAATTGCAGCAGAAATTATATATTGAACTACAAGTATTTTTCAGTGTGTTGCAGAAATGGCTGAGACTATATATAGGGCATAGTATGTGGAAAAGTTAGATTTCTTGTGGCATTTTCTTTTGTAGCTCTGGAGAGCACAGATACGGAAAATACCATAGAGTTATGCATATCTTTTCATGATTTCAATGAGAATTTTGATGTGAATGAAGACCTTTTTGGCATATTGACCATTCCAAGCAAATCAGGAAATGGTTTCCTTAGGTATACGGAAAAAAGTCCTAAGAAGATCACAGTTTACATGTAAGGAAGTGTTAATGTCAGACTGTTACGAAATGTATATCCAACATGGCAATGTTTTGTAGGGACACAGAATTTATGTTTGTTCTTTGGTAGATATATTAGGAAGTATTTGCTTTGTGGTAAAAGGTTTAAATAGAGCACATTATGGACACGGTAGCTGCCACCATGAGCTGGAGACCGCACCACTGACTTGAACAACAGACAGCTCAAACCTTGGATGAAATGGGTGAACAGTATGCTGGTCAGCTTCCCTTTGTGAGCCTAGGTGCCTGAGTGAGGGCAAGGTGCTCACTCCAGATATAAAACCCACTGTGCAAAGAGTCGATCCATGTCTGGAAAGAAAACAACTCTCTTCCTTTAAGGCACTAAAATGAAATAACCTTACTCCTCATTCCCTCACCACTTCCCTTACCCACAACCCGTGTTAAAACTAATCTGTACTAAATTCCGTACATTGGAATTCCAAACACAAGACCTAACATTAACACCCTTGTGCAGAAGAAAAGGTGGCAGGTTTCTGGTTTGCAAATCAAAGTGGCAAAAGAAAATTCTAATCATTAATTATTGCCATTTTTAATTTTAATTTTTTTAATTTAAAATATCCCTAATATGATTTTTTAGAATCTTATCTCATATGCCCACCCCATTAATTAAAGAAAATTTTATTACATTTCTGGCAGTTTATTTTTCTTACAGCTGGCCTGATTTACTCATTTAAGATATCTCTCTAGCTCTTATAGGCATTTGAATTTGTGACATCCGCACTAGATAACATTATACCCATTCTTCCCTTGCCCCTACTCTCTACCCTCCAAGAGGAGGAAAAGCTTGACCATTTATTGGCAATCTAGAAGACTGTGAGTCATTGAAGGAAGAGAGCACTTTGGGTTCATTTCTGTATATCCAGCGTAAACCATAGTATTTAGTCAATGAGTGTTTATTAGATGGATGGATAAACGTACTTCAATTGAAGACAGACATACCCAGAATTGTTTGGGGATGGAAGTTGTATTTCAGTATCATGCAAGTTGAATGTCAAGGATAATCATTTTCCTTTCCCTTCAGCTTCTCCTTCTTGACCATTTTCTGCCCTAGATGCCTACACAACAGCTGAAGTAGTTTATTCTTGGACTCTTGGAAAGAACAAATCCGTGGAAGTGGCACAGGATGGCTCTCGCCTGAATCAGTATGACCTGCTGGGCCATGTTGTTGGGACAGAGATAATCCGGTCTAGTACAGGTATTTATTTATTTTATTTAACAAGCAGTTTTTGTAACCTGTACCACATTCCAGTCACTGTTCCAAGTACTTACAGAAACTTATGTGATCCTCAGAACAATCTTGTGACAGAGGTACTAGTATCATAAGGAAACTAAGGCATAGAGATGTTCAGTAATGTGCCCCATGTCGCAGTTATATAATGTCAGAGCTAAGATCTGAACCCAGGCGGATTGGCTCCCAAGCCCATGTTTTTAATCACAATGCCCTGCTGTCTCTTGGGGAGTGGGGGAGAAGGTCAAGGGCATTAGGGCTGGGCTGTAGTAGAAGAGAAGGCAGAGGGAAGCCATGATGGTGGGAGAGCTGCAATTTGATTCCAAAGGTCTCATGAAGACATCTGCTTAACTCTGCCATTGCTGAGGTGGCAGGTTAATTGCCCCAGGAGAGGCCAGGTGCACAGCCAGGAGGTCCAGGGATAAGCCATGGAATTATTTTCTTAGTGAATCACCCATCTCAGAAACAAGTCTGTCCGGCAAATCTTGCCAGCTCCTCTCAATGGCTAATTCTTGGACATTGATAAATGGAACTTAGAGACTTGTTCTATAGGCTTAAGTCCTATCTGTTCAGAAGCTGACCAGTTGCAGGGGCTTGAGGCAGGAGGCGCCCTGAATCCCGACTAATCTTAGGGTATTAGGCAAAGTGGAGTAAATCTTGAGGCCCACATATCTTACAATACTTTTTGCCTTGAAACGATGGGAACGTTCAACACTTATCTCTGTGGAAGATCTCTGAACCCACAATTAAAAATGAAGTAGGGTACTCTTGTCTTTTTATTTCATTATCTGGACACTGCTCTTCCCTCTCCTTGTGATGTGGCAGTATGTCACCTTGCCCGTGCCCTGTTCTCCCTCCACCCTAGGACCAGGAGAGGGTACCTTAAAAAAAGCAGCATTTGAAACAGACTTAAAGAATAACAAGATTTAGAGATTTGGAATTTGGTATGGGGAAAGGCTACTCTCGAGAAAGGAAATACGGAGGTGTCAAGAGGCCAGAGATATTTGAGAACAAGATCTGTTGGAAAAGCCGCAAGTTCACAGTAAGAGGTGGAGGCGATAGAGTCTGGGGCTGCAGGAGTGTGGGCTGCCTCCTTGAAGGGGATTCTGGGGTCGGGTGCTTGGAGCCAGTAGTGGCTGGACCTGTAGCAGCCAGGCAGGCACTGTGTATGGCTGGCCGGAGTCCAGGAGGCCCCTCCGTCCAGCAGGTGGGGCCAACAGCCCAGCTTTGGAGGAAGCATACAGGTGCTGCTGGTTGCTGTGCCTAGGCCACCTGGACCCTGGCTGTTTGCTCTGAAGAGCACTCCATAGCATTGTATGTGGGGTCAGCATGGCTGCTGCACAGCCAAGGCTCACATTCCAGCTGCACCCACCACCCTCTGGAGGTGTTGGAAGTGTGGCCTGGGGCGATAGTCGCCTGGCCTCCCGGGCTCGGGAGGGTTTGCTTTGCTCCCGATGAAGTGGAGACGACGGTATACTGCTGCAGGTGCATTGCAGACCTGCTACCAGGCTTGCGCGTCCTGGCCCCTGGACTGGGCGCCAGCCTTGGTGTCCTGCTGGCAACCCACATCCCCGAGCCCCATCGAAGGGCAGGGCCGAGGCTGTGGTCAGCCAGGCTGGGGGTGCTGGGGGGAAATCCTCCTCACCTGGCCAGAGTTCTGCTCTCCCCAAGCAGGGGGAGGGAGTGGGGACTTCAGCGCCCGCGTGTGCAAAGCACATCCTTCTGGCTCTAGTGCGCCCCTTGCGCTTTTGAGTGGAGGCCGGCCTCCCGCTCCCGGGCGGGGGCGGGTGTGTGTGTGGGGGGGG